GGACCCACACTGATTTTATAAGTCTGTCCCATTGCCGTCTGTTGGCCATGACAGATGCAAGATCCTGCCTCAAAAGACCACTGTCCTATTCAGTTTCTTTATATAAACTCTGTTTATCACTACATTGCTCTAAGAGCAGGAAGGGCTCATCTAGGGACTTAATGCCGTGTACGATGGATGCGGAAAAATTCCAATCACACATACAGGTTCGCAGAACTCAAAAAACACGCCCGACTGTCAAGTAAATATGTTATTCGCTTAGTCAGTTGTGGTAAAGTCTATTTTGAAGCTTATGAATACTGTCATTATCTTTGTACTGACTCTTTATTTCATATCACAATAGACATATCCTTGCTGCAATACATTTTAATTTTAATTTGATGCGGGACACCAAGAAGAAGGCAGACGGTTCAGAGCAGATCAGAGTCCTCTATCCAAAGTTCAAAAATGGAGAGGCTTCTATAAGGGACATCAGAATTGAACAAAACTTTGGTAAGAAATATCAACCTCTATTTTCACTCAACCATACATGTAGGTCGATTGATTTGGAATTCTTTGCTGGTGATCTTTTCTACCCTGTGTCAGCAGCACACCCTCTCCATTTGAGTACTTTCTTTGTGACCTCCATTTCTGTATTTCTCAAGATAAATATGAACACAGTATTATTGTATTCATATTTTTAGACTAGAGAGAATAGGCTCTATTTTTTATTTGTGATTTTAAAAAGTATTGGTATTTATCACTTTCTTTTTTAATGTAAAGATTATGTGGAGGAGTTTTACCAGACTTACTTGGAGGCTGAAAATACCAAACAGCTCGGTGCTGCTGCAAATGAGCTACGGGACAAAGCACCGCTACCGATGAACAGCATGGAATGACGGCAGGCCAGGCAGAAAATGGAAGTGGTTAATGTTCCACCAACTACTCCATGTAAGTTGTATTTATTGAGTATGTATCAGTAGGGAAACAATGCTATCATAATCGTGGCTGTGTTCTAAGACAAATTGAAGGGAGCCCAGTGCCCTGAACCTGTGAAATCAAGGATGCCTAGCATAATACTATAATCTCTAAGATTTTCTTGTCGCCATAGAGCAGAAGTTATGTACTTGGGGTCACCCTGTCCTGTTAGAACACAGTCATCCCTATCTGAGGCTAACTGAGCCTTCTGCCCCTCTCAAGTCACTTTTTTCTTTGGGAAAATCTTTTTTTTTCTGGACATTTAGGGATTTTTATTATTATCAATATTACTGTTATAATCAAGAAAATGATAAATATAGCCATTAGAGCAACATATTACATCTTTTGTTGTAGAAAT